AATTAACGATAAAAATGTAAGTTCACATAGTTAGTTGAACTCACTACAGAAAACCTTAATGGTTACTGTTCCACTGTATTTAATATGTTACCATATTCTACTAAACTTAAATCAATTATCATAGTCATTTTTACGTGAACACAGCTCAAAAGTACATTACCGCCTACTGGCATTAGAGCAAGATACCAGTTTGACCTGAGTAATGTAACAAATTAGAACACCTTGCCGTAATAACAATCGTACGGACAATATAATCCAAACATGTTCACATGACAATGATTATATCAATTTAAATAGAATACCAATACATGCTATACAACATAATAAAATAGAAAATATAAACATATAAATTAAAGGTAATTCATATCTAAGGGGTGATTATTATAAATAATCATTACAGTGACATAATATACTGCAATTATTATACAGTATCAGGTCCCTGATTATACCATACTATAGTCAACAGCATCTATAAGCTGCTAATAATGATTATGTACTAAATGAGAGTACTGATTTAATCTTATTTATTAACTATGATCTTAGAACATAATTCAATATAAACTTACATCAGTTTCTTCTCCAGAACCTGTTGCATTGAATCCATGAACTGAACTGATATACTGTTTTGGTAAATATTCCAAAACAAGATAAGAAAGTCTGTTGCTAAGTGAGAATGGCAAACCTTGAATGCATAGTTGGAAGATAGCTAAGTTCACTGTCTGTAATCTAGAATTACAATCACCACAAACTTGTGGTCTGCATAGAGTATCTTGGTCTATGCTTTAACACAGGCCTATTCTACAAACAGGGGCAGTTAATACATATAGCAAAATCTGACTTAACAGTTATGACGCTCGCCTTGGCAGCGAGAGGTCGCAAATTCGAATCCTGTCGGAGGCATTTTATTAAATAATTACTTTTTATAGGATTTTATTCGTTGAAAAGCTACAGGGTAGCCTACGATGTTCCATCATGTCCTTATCAAACACTGTATATGTACCTTTGATCATTTATATTATATTTATTCAACAGTGTTAATAGCTACCTTCCTTCATATATAATATACGACAGTATTCCTAGCCATATTGCCAGATTTATCTGGCCGAACGCCCTCTTGAGGCGTAGTAATGTGTAATACAATGTTCTCGACGGTTATTTGGACCTGTTCAACCATGAAGCCTTCGTGGTCTAGTGGTTATGACGCTCGCCTTGGCAGCGAGAGGTCGCAAATTCGAATCCTGTCGGAGGCATTTTATTAAACAATTACTTTTTATAGGATTTTATTCGTTGAAAAGCTACAGGGTAGCCTACGATGTTCCATCATTTCCTTATCAAACACTGTATATGTACCTTTGATCATTTATATTATATTTATTCAACAGTGTTAAGGGCTAACTTCCTTCATATATAATATACGACAGTATTCCTAGCCGTATTGCCAGATTTATCTGGCCGAACGCCCTTTTGAGACGTAGCAATGTGTAATATAGACTTGCCACAAGTCTCTTATTTTTTATTATTTTTCTCATTCTGGA